CAGCCCCAAGGATAGCAGGGCCTCACCTGTCGCCTCTGCCCAAACTCTTCCTCCACCAGAGTGCTGACACCAAACTCTTGGTCCATCTCCTCCAGCAGCTTGGCCTATGTATGGGACCATAACAGGGGTGACCTGTGACTTCTGTTCGGCCACCGTTTTGTTACCTGCAGTTCTGCATTCCTATTCAAGGTCAGAACTGCCCGGTCAATCAAAGAAGCCAAGCCTTACTAGGCGCCTTTCAAATCAATCAAGAGCAGAGAGCTTGATCACTCTGGAAAGGCCATGCCCGGGAGGCCAAGGACTGACGTATGACACGGGACCCCAGAAACTGACCAGCGGAAAGTCTTGTTGATAAGATGGAAATCATGGCCGGGGGTCTAGGGCTTGATCTCAGTGACAATACCCGGTCACCAAGCAGACTCCCAACCCCTAGCACTACAGCTGACAGCATGTTTTCTGCTCTCACCCCTCCCTTTTCCCTCACAACCGATGCTGTGTGGTTATGCGTAAAAAGGCCAGGATCTTGCCCTTCAAGCAGCACCCTGCATCGTGCAGCCTGCCCACGCCTCCCGTTTACACAGACGGGGCAGGCCCAGCAGGCAGGCCGCAGGGGAGTCCAAAACAGATGCCACTGGTCCACCTCCCGCCTGTGCCTCACCTCCCAGGGCAGCCCCTGCTTCGCCAGAACTCAAGCTGTCAGAGCCACCCGGCGACCACCTCAGCAGCCCGGGTCCTCACCCTCTTCTCTGCCAAGTCCTTCTCTTTCTGAAGCTGCCGGCTCCTCTCAATCCAGGCTGCGGTGTCATCCAGCCATGGATCATCCTCCCCCAGCGTCTTTATCTTCCTGTAGAGGGAACAGGGACCTCAGGGGAGCCCAGCTCCTAGCCCCGACCCGGACCCAAGGGCTTCTTGGCAGCCTGCTGCCTCCCTGGCTGGCCCCTTACCCCAGCTTCTGGTTCATCAGGCGCTTCTCCTTGGCGGCCGCCAGCTTCTCCCGCAGCTCTTCCCGCTGTCGCAAGGCCATGGGGTTGATGACGTCGGCAGCCACGGGCTCCTCCTTGGTGCCCGCCTCTGGAAGGGGGGCCCAGACGTGAGGCCATGCCTGCCCATGGCTGGGGGGAGAGGAGGGAGCCACTCACCCTGCCCCCTTCCAGCGCAGGGGGCCAGAAGGGGCCAGGATGGGGAGAGGAAGCCTTCACCTCCCTAGTCTCATTCTACCCTCATACTCTTGTCACCCCCCACAGCAGCATGGGACCCTCCATGCCTTCTAGAGCCCCTCAACTCATGCCTTAAAAATAAACCCAACCCCTGCACAGCCCAGCCCGACCTATGCAGCCTTGCAGAGAAAGACGTGGGGCCTACACTGGAGCTCAAAGAACAGCTGAGCCCACGAGGGCCAGCAAGGAGGGCCCGCGCACAGGTGACCAACTGGTGCAGAACTGGGCGCAAACCCCAATTTCTTCAAAGACCCTTCCACGTGGCCTGTATCCTCCACCCAAATGCCCTCACCCCACCTCTCGACCTCATACTTACCCTTCTTAACAGCATTGACCTCCAATGGCTTCAGCCCCAACTTCGCGCGGAGTTTACTGAAGACAAGAGATACAAGCATTAGAGGCTATCAAAAAAATGGGGCGTTATATGTATTTCTTTGGATGGGGTAAAAACAAGAGAGAAGTGAATGGTGCTCAGGAACCCAATGCAGAGCCCAACCCAGGCAGGATAGGGCGCTGGGCTCCACGTCAGGGAGCGCGGGCACCAGGCCCGACCAGCCCCGCCAGAGGATGCCAGCCTTCCTCTTAGGTCTCAGAGTCCTCGCCTGTCACAGTTAGCACTTCCGACTCAATCAGCACACTTCCCTATGGCAAAGCCTCTCCATGCAGCTGCCCTGGAAGCCACCTGCCTCGGGGGAAAGAGTAGAAACACAAAGAAGACAACTTACTTGGTCTCCTCAATGCTGAGGGATGAGGCATCTCCTGAGCTAGTTTTGGAACCAGCAGCTGGAACAAGAAACATGACTCAGGAGCTGAACGCAGGGCCCTGGAGCCAGCGTCCTCAGCTCCAGTGCAAGGCCCCACCATGGCACCGGGGCCTCAGAAGTCAGGAAACAGCAGCTTTCCTCACCCAAGTCCTGGCCTCTGAGATGTGTCCCTCTTCCACACCCTTCCTTTCTTGATTCAAAAGGCCCAAACTTCTGCATCCCTCACTCTCAGATGTTCGGTGTCCGCCCTGGCCGCACTCTGACAAGATCCTCGTTGAGTGCAAAGTTCAAATGCCACCCCCTTCACAGACACCTTCCTGTTCAATTATTGCTCACAACTAACTGCTCTCCCACCCCAATCCAGTGTCATCCCTTTCTGGGTCGCACACAGAGCAGGAACCAGTTAGGCTGCACAACTGCATTCTCCATGCAATTCATTGGTCCCCACAAACAGAAATCAGACAGCAGAAGGAGCTCCCCCAGCCAGCTGCCACCACACGCTCACCCTGCCCGCATCCCCAGCCCACAACCTCAACTTTCGCTCCTGTATGCCACCAGGAGCCTGGATCCCAATCCTTCTAGGCTCTCTCCAGCATCTTCAGCCTCCTCGTTTCTGCACCCAGTGGAGTCTTCTCCACTCTGACTTAACCTGATCTACGGTGTGCGACGCAGACCACACCTTTCTTCTAGCAAAGATCTGCCCACAGATGCCAGGACTCAAGTCTAGTTTTCCTGTCTTTTTGACTACTCTACCTCCCCCCTCGTGACACCAAGCTCTGCCTGTTACTAAAACACTGGCGTTTCTCAGGTTCTGTTTTTACCTAGTGACATTCCTCTAGCTTCTCATTCTCCCCTCCAGGAATTTCAGCTGCCACCTAAATACTCATAACTCCCACACTGCTCTGCTCAGCCTCAATACTGGGCCTCTCCATGCTCATCAAGTGCAGCACTCTCCCAAACAGAATGCCTTATCTCCCCTGACAGTCAGCTTCTCTTTCAAATGCCTTCATTTCAGTGGACACCGATGCCACCGCCACCTACTTACTCAAGTGAAAATTCAAGGCATCATCCTCCACGCCACCTCCTTGCCACCCTCATCGAAGGCTAAACTGTTTATTTATCTTCCGTAACACCTCCTTAGCCTGTCCTGCTACATCCCACTGCAGGTGCCTCAGTGCAGGCCAGCAGCCCTCATCTGGCCTTCAGTATCCACCACCCTTGACCCACTTCTCAAAGCAGTGACCTTTGCAAAATATAAGTATGAGCTACTCAAACCCATGACACTGCACAACCCTCAGGGCGAAGTGTCAACTTCTTAACAGGGTCTCCGGGGTCCTGCACGTTCCCACCCTTGCCTACCTGTCAGTCTCAAGCGACAGTCTCCACTAGGAGCCCGACGGGCCCCGCCCCGCACCAGCTTTCTGCTCGCTCTGCCAACGCTGGAACCACTTCATCCATCCATCCATTCGCCCCTCCACTCACTCACTCACTCACTCAGGGCTGGGATGTGCCAAGTAAAACAGAAACGTCTGATCTCAGGGAGTTTAGGGAGACAACCCCAATCCCAAGTGACCGCAGGAAGGCTGGCCACTTGGGGGTGCCGGGGCCCCCTGTCTCGGCCTCCAGGCCCGGGGCCGGCCCCTCCCGGAGCCCCCGCCCCGCCGGGCCCCTCACCAGCCTCGTAGCCGTCATCGCGCTTCTCCCGCTTGACGCGCCGCTCGGAGGGCTCCGCCTGGCCGCGCTCCCGCCCGTGCGCGCCGCTGCGGGTCTCGGCCTCGGCCCCGCGCCGCCCGCCCCCGCGCTCGCGGCTCCGCTTCCGCCGTTCGCCCCCGCCGCTGCCGCCGCCGCCGCTGCGATGCTTGTGCTTCTTGTGCTCCCGGTGCCGCGGCGGCTGCTCGGCGGCGCCCCCGGTGCCGGCCGCCGCCGTCGTCCCAGCCGCCTCCTTCTCCCCGCGGTGCTTCTTCGACGACCCCATGGCGGTGCGAGCGCCCCGAGCCCGGCCGCCGCCGACCCCCGACGACGCAAAATGGGAACACTTCCGGGTCGCGGGCCGCCGCGGCGGTGTTGCCGGAAGTCAAGAGCGGCCGCTTCCGGCTCCCCGGAGCCGGCCCCAAGGGCTCCTGGGAAGGCGGGCGGGCGGCCCCTACGCATGCGCCCCCCGTGCGCGACCCGCCCTGGGCTGGGCGCCCAGAGCTGGAAGGCCGTGGAGGCCGCCGTACCCGGCGCCCCAGACCCGGGAGCCCGTCGTGGGCTCCCTCCGTTCGCGCACCCCCAGCCAGGGACGCGCGCGGCCCCTCGACCTCCAGTAGCGTCCTCCCAGGGGACGCCCTGCGGTCTGCCGGCTTCCCTGACAGCCCCCCCCCCCCCCCCCCCCCCCCCCCCGCTCCATCGCCCCGGCTCAGCCCCTGGAACCAGTGTTGTCAGCAAGCGCCGTCTCCCCACGTTCCCTGGGTTGGGGCTTTAAACGTGCACTCTGAACTGCTGAGCCAAATGTGGCTTTTTCCCCCCTTGAAAGGAGCTGTAACTTGAAGTAACTTCGAAGTTGGAAACCCCGTTCACACAATCCCTCCTGACACACACCCCCCCCACAGTTGCCCAATCTGGCGGCCCCTTGCGCCGCCAACCTCACCATCTGCTAAGATGTGATATAATTGCTCCTTTAAAGGTCGTCCCCCTCCCGCTTCGGACTGGGGTTGCCAATGGCGTGCGCCATCGGGCACTATTGGCTCTTGAATTTCTAGGACCCACCATTTAAAGTGTGTGTGGGTGGGTGGGGGTCCCGCAGCAGTTGCTCTGCCATATGTCCCACTCATCCATCAAGAGCAGGAGCAGGGCTGTGCTTGGGGGTGGGGGCAGCCAGAACAACCAGAGCTCCTGGGGGAGGGGATGACAGCTAAGCCTGCTGCCTGCCCACCTGCCACCTCCTACGCCCAACCCAACCCAACCCGCAGCTTCTTCCCACCGCTGCCATCAGAAATCCCACACTGTATTTTCCATCAAACATTTAATTTTTAAATCAGGGGCCAGGCTCCTGGCCTAGGATTGGGGTGCAGTGCCTGTCAGGCTGCCTGCAAGTGGGATCTCTCCTTGGGGGGGGGTTCTCTGAGGAGAGGGTTCATTCTCACCCTCATTGAGCTGTGGCTCCTTAAAGATGAAGAGAGAGGCGCCTGGGCTCTGCCACTCCCCACCCCAGTGACCAGGGATTTGTAGCGGAGGGAAGGCCATTGCCACTGATGAGGTAGGTTCAAGTCCGGCTCCTGTGCTATGTGACTGTGGGCAAATGACTTTCTCTCCTCCGGCCTCAGTTTCCTTATTATGAATTGGACTTTGTAATCTCCACTTTGCCCCAAGCTGTTCTAAAGCACAAGGCAGAACGTTCATGGGGTGACTGTCAGATGTGTGTAGTACCAGCCCGTGGGGGGTGAGGCGCTGGTGTGTTATACCCTCCTGTGTCCTGGGGCAAATCCTTGAGGAAAATAATCCTGGCCCCACCTTGGGGATGGGGGGGGGGGCCCTCCTGACTGCTAGAGCTCCAAGCCTGGGGACCAGGGCAGCACTGAAGCTGGACATAGGGTGGACCGAGGCCGCTGCTACAGAACCCTGAGATGTCCCCAGACAGCCAGCCCCAGGCCAGGAGCAGGGTGGGGGTAGAAACAGCTGGGATGACCCTTCAGGGCCCAGAGGGCCAGTGTTGGCACCCCCTTACCCCACAGCCTGGCAGAGCAAGTTGTTGGCAGCCAGCTGACCTCACCTGGGCTTCCTGGAGGTACCCTCCGTGTTCCCCTTTTCTGCCTCAGCCAGCAGCTGCTCCTCTTCCAGTCCCAGTGCCGACAGCACCTGGGAGAAGCGGCGCGTGACCGTGAGCCGGGCATTGGTCTGAGGAGAGAGAAGGGTTCCCGCTGTGCACCAAGGCCCGCAAAGACACACTGAGGGCCTGTTACCCTGGTTACTCATGGGGTGCCAGCACTTCCACGTGGACAGTGGCCTGGTGTAGGGTAAGTATCAGGCTTTTCTGCCCTCCCGCCATTAGGATTGATGATGGAACCCTGAGGTCCTGAATGCCTGATGGCGGGCACCTGGAGTAGGGCGTGTGCATTTGTAGGTGGAAAACCCGGGCTGAGAGACTGGGCTTAGAAGGGCGGCGTCACGAGGACGCCAGCGAGAAAAAAAGAGAGGAAAGAACGAGAGCAAAAGAGAGACCAGAAGGAGAACGAGGAGAGCAGCAGAGGCCACGAGAGAACGCCGGAGAGCCCAGACCGAGGACTCGCCGGGGGCTGGGAGGCCCGCCAGCCTCCCAGCACCCCTGCCTGCCAGCCGTGTACCTGGTACACGGTTCAATAAAAATAAAAGCCTGCAAAAGCCATCGAAGGCTCCAGGACTCCTTCACCCGTCTGCTCGGGTCATAGAGATCCTGCTCTGTGCTCATCCTGCTGCTACCCCTGGGGTCCCCATCTAAGGGGACCCCTCCCACCTCACTTCCCTACCCACTCATCTGGTGAGAGACTCTTCTTGCACAGGTGCTAGCCCTCACCTGCATGGCCTGCTGGAACAGGTAGGGCCGGGCCTGCACCCTGTGCTGGATGCCCCGCAGCTCCTCCTGGTATTCTGTGAGGCGCTGCCGCTCCTGGCGCCTGCAGGGAAACCGCAGCTCACAGCCCATCCCCACTCACCAAGGATTCAAGGCCTCCCACCCTCACCTTCACAAAGCCCTTTCATTGCCATTCTTACCCCAGATTCCTCCTGAGGTCAGTGGGCTGGGGAGGCTTTTTCGCACCTTCCCACCCGTAGCCTCTGCGGCTATCACCCTCGGCCTCGCCCTCCTCCCACGATGATGGACACCTGGCCCCAGGGAGCACAGCGTGCGCGTGTCATGCACACTCCGGGGCCTAGGAGGGGTGAGAGGGTGGCAGGACCCCCGCCAGGCTACGAGACTGCCACAAGGCGACATGAGACTGAGTAAGAGCGCAAAGATCCATGGGGGCTGGGAGGTTGCCGCCTGGCCAGCCTGCGTCCACAACCCCATGCCAAGCCCGAAGCTCAGGAGGGCTGAGGGACGGCTCCAAGGGTGCAGAGCTGAGAAGGGAGGCGGCCCTACAGCCAAGCCACAGGGTTGTGCAGTCAGGGATTGCCCGCCTCCCAGCTATCCCAGGAAGAGAGGCCACTGGGCTGGCTGGAGCCTCCTGTTGCTGGCGCCCATGCCCCTGTGCCTGGGAGGGGGAGTCTGGTCCCCCCTCAGATAGTTTAGTAGGAAACGGACACACTTGCCAGCATGCTCTGTGGTGCTCACAAGCAGCTGGCTCAGAAGATGAGGCTGGGAAGCACAGAAATACATTGCAAATGAAAGAACACATCCTGCAAGCTGGAGGGTGCCCTGGGGAATCACAAACCCATTTACAAAACCCGGCGTATAACTTGTTGGGGACATGTTTGCTCAACAAGCAAAGCATCCTGGCAGCGAGATGGACGTCTGGCCGCGCACTCAGAGACCACAGACGGGGCTCCTAGCCTCGTGTTTGGGGCTGTTTTGATCTAGTCCTACTGGTTTTGAGCTTTTATAGTATAAGCAAACTTGCAAGTGTGTTGATGGGCGTAGAACAATTGAACCTGGAGCTAGTCAACAGCTGGGGGACTGTCGTTATTACCCGGGTGACCTTGGACCAGCCCCTCCTCCCTCTGCCTCTGTCTTCATCTGTACCAGCGGCAACGGCAACGTGACCGGGCAGGCAGCCTGGGCAGGAGGCTCAGGCCTGTGGGAAGCTGAGGGGTGGGACTCCTCTGTCCTTCCTCTCACACCTCAGGCTGCTTCTCTGCCCACCGGGCCCTCGGGGCCATGAGCATCCTACCTCAGCTCCTCCACCTTGCGCTGGGTGGCCCTGGGCCCCCGGCCTCCGCTGGGCTCATAGGCTGCCAGGCAGCGGGCCACCTGCTGCTGCACCCGCTGCACCCGGGCCCTCCGCAGCTCGGCCTGCAGCTGTTCTTCCTGCTCCTGCCGCTCCCACTCCTGCAGCAGGCTTCTGGAAGGTGGGGGCAAGAATGGGAGAATTTTTGGGGGAACAGGAATCTCATAGAGGAGCAGGGGCTTGAAGGGAGGGAATGTAGGAGCCCAGAGAGCCAAGGTCAGGAACGGGGTTGTCACAGAAGTCTGACAGGATGGAGGCTGTGCGAGGGGCTCAGCCCGCAGGCCCTACTCTATCTGGAAGTCTCCTGGCCTCCCCAACCAGGGATATGCCCCAACTCTGAGCCTACGCCGCCTGTGACCCCACCTGTGTCCCTGATTCCCCTGCAAGGCAGCTCTCCTTGAGGGCGGGGGGCCAGACCTTGTTCTCTCCAGTCCCCATTTCTATCAGGGTCTGTTGGTGTGAGGGAATGTTAGACAGATGGACAGACGGATGAATGATTGGGAAAGAGAAACAAAATGGCGGTGGGAAGCGTGGGTGCGTGCATGGAGGCGTGAGAGGTGTGGGTGGTAGAGTAAACAGCACTGAGGTTTATCTGGAACATTATTTCCCCAGATCCTGTGGTCTGATCCTTTCTGTCCTGGCCCAAATGTCAGGATTAGCAGGATTTTCCCTGGCTGCCCCCCAGGTCCTTCCATCTCCAGCTGTACATTGTGTTCATTTCTTTGTGAATTATCCCTCCAAGTAGAACGTGAGCCTCATGAGAGCAGGGTTCCTGTCTGTCCTGTTCACCAGCGATGGACCCGCGGATCTATTAGAGCCCATATGCAGAAAATCTGTTAAATGGCTCTTCCTCTCTCCATGCATAGGCCTCCCCTCTCCATTCATGTGGCCAACTCTCAGCCTGTAGAGCCCCGGGGGCTTCCAGCTCAGGTCCTTATCATCCCTCACTTGACACCCGCCCCCATCCGCCCACTCTGCTCTTGGTGTCTCTTGTTGCAGCCCCAAGTACAGCAGTTCCCTAACTGCGGCCCGCATTGATGTTTCCCCGTAGGGCTCCTATTCCAGCTGACCTTGAGCTGCTCGGGTTGGGCCAAGTCATTTTATCTTTATATCCTGAAGACCCATGAGTGGAGACGCAATATATGTTAACAGCCACTTGGTTAGTAGATGAACAGCTAGGTGGAAGATGGGAAATGAATGACTTGTGTCAATAAATAGCTGGCCAGTCAGAGGGAGGGCGGGAGGGAAGAGGGGGGCTGGGGCGGGCTGGTGGGCGGGCGGGTGGAAGGACTACGTGAAAGTCGGGGTGAGTTGAGAAATGCGGGGCTAGTTGTGAGGCTGAATGACTACGTGCTTCTGGGCGAGCTGGCTCTTTCTTGACCCCTTGCCCTGGGATCCCACCCTCTTCCTCCTCCCACCCCACCTGGTGGCCTCCTGTCGCTTGTAGAAGGTGCGGTTCGGCAAGTTGGCGCTCCAGCATGTCTCAGCATCTCCCACGGCAGGGGCCTTCCCGCTCCGGCTGGGGGACTGGACAGCCGCCCACAGAGCCTTCCAGGTCCGCTTTTCGTGGCCTGTCCAAGGGGGACAAGTCAGAGAGTGCCTGCTCCCCGAGCCCGCCGGGCAACCCCACCGGCGCTGGAGTCCAGCCCAGCCCTGTCTGAAGTCCTGGCTCCCAACCTCTCGCCCCATGGTTCGGCCTCCTGGAGACCTGAGGGGCTAAGCCCCACACTCACCACAGTGCAAGTCTTGCTGGAACTGCCGCTGCAGCTGCTCCAGGCCCCACGGCCCCTCCAGCTCCTGGGCCCTGGCCTTTTGCCTCTGCTGCCCTTGGGGATTGTTGGAGCTGGAATCTCTCCCTGGACACTGGGGTTCACCCTCACCCCAGGCCTCCTCGCCAGAATTCCACCCCTTTCTCTGAGGATGAGTCCTCCTCGCCTTGTGCTCCACTATCTCGGCCTCCTCTGTCACCTCTGCAGCCCGGTCCCCCTCCAAGGTGAACCCCAGCCTGGAGAGCTGGCGCTGGTCTCCAGGACTCAGGCCCCTCTCAGCCTCCAGTTCATGGGCCTGCTCAGACGTGGGCCCTGAGCCTGGCCTCTTCCTGGAGAGCTGCAGGTCCGCCTCATGGTGGGGCTCCAGTCCGTGGCCCTCTGCTCTGCCGCCCAGTGCAGAGTCATAGCCCCAGGCCCTGAGCTGCTGTCTCCTCTCCTGGCTCGGCAGGTCTGTCTTCCAGCAGAGGCCGGAGGTGTCCGGGAGGTGGGCCGTGGACTTGCCCCAGGGCTTGCGCTGGGGAGCTGCTGGGGGCAAGGGCAGGCCTTGGTGGTGGGAGGCCAAGGAGGACTGAAGCGGAGACTGGCTTTCTGCTGTGAAGCTCTCCCAGGCCCACTGGAAGGGGAAGGAGGGTCTCCGAGAGGAAGCGGAGGAGAGACTGAGGAGGGAGAGAGCAGCGGTCGGGGTCGGGGCGCTGCCCCCATCCCCCTCAGGGCCAGACACCCAGCACCCCTCCGGGCCTGTCCCCAGCCGCTTACTCCTCGGCCTCTGCAGAGTCGCAGTCTTTCTTGTTCTGGCCCCTGGGCTTCCGGTCCTTCTTTGCTATCTGCCCCGCGCTCTGGGCCCTCTGCTGCTGGCCAGGAAGGACGCCACCTCCGCGCCTGACACCCCCCTGGGTGAAGCGGGGAGAGGAGGCTCGGCCATGAGCGGCTTCCAAACCACCTCACACCACCCCCAGGACCTGCTGTGCGCCCTGGGAGCGCCTCTGCACCCCCCTTTTCTTCTTACATATCCATGTCAGTAACTTCAAGTGAATTTTTGAAATCACAAACACATGCTTTTCTCATTGTCAAGCAAACCCTCTGTTGACACTAAAAGCAACTTACCTCACCTCAACTCTTCATATCAAAATAGCAGCAGGGCCTCCCTGGTGGCACAGGGGCTTGAGTCTCAGCACTATGAAACTGTCTGCAGCCACAGCAGCATGAGTTCAATCCCCGGCCAGGGAGCAAACCACATGGCGCAGCAGACCTCTCCTGACTCGCCCGCTGCTCCACTCAGCAGTGGATTTCATCAGTCTGCCTGTTCTGTTCCCCACTCTGTCTCCGGTGAATCCTCTCACCACCCACACCTCTGGCCTGTATCCCAGCTCTTGTATGCATAAATAAATAAAATAAATCTTAAAAAAAAAATAGCAGCTGCTGTTTTCTGAGCCCTCCTGAGGGCTCTGGCCTTCTATGTGTTCTCCTTCCCGGGGCGGAGGTGCAGTGGGGTGCTCAGACGAGAACACAGAGGTCAGAGAGAAACACTGGACTGAATTCTCACTAGTGAATCCAGCCACGTCTGTTCCCAGAGCTCTAATTCGTCACCACTGCACTCCCTGCCCCTGGGGTCTGAATAACTCTTCTGACCACCACAAAGTGGAAGGAACTCAGCGTCTTTCATAAAAGCCTGTCCTCAGTGTTCCCTAATTACCCACTGGAAGCTGGGGAGTCATACCTGGACATCATCCTCGTCTCGCCCCCTTGTCCTTAGACCTGCCCATGTCCCTGCCCCCACCGGCCTCCCTGGCTCTCACCTGAGCCTAGTTAGCCTCCTGGCTCCTCCCAGGTCTCCCACAGCCCAGTCACCCCCAACCCCAGATATCCAGCCTGCCCCCAGGCAGTTGGAAATTCCCCTTGGTGCCCCTCCCATACCTGCTCAGCCTGGGGGATGCTGGACAGAAGCTCGAGCAGCCCCGTGGTGGTCCCTGGGGCCTGCAGCTGCGTGTCCTGCCTGGGTCTCCGGGACGTGGTCTTGATCAACTGTTGGTGGGTGTTTAACATTATTGGTGTCCTGCCCCACCCCCCACCTGCCAGCCTTGGAACTATCTGCCGATCTCTATGGCAACCTGTCATCAGCCAGTCTCAAGGGCTCTGGCAAAATGCAGGCCAGGAAGGGGCAGCCAGGGTATGTGATGGCTCAGGCCAAAAACCTGGTGTCACCCTTGACCCCTGCCTCTCACTCACCACACCTCAAGCACCAGCAAACCCCACTGGTACCACCTTCAAAATACATGCAAAATCCATTTCATTCACACCCCCATTAACACGCTCCCCCAAACACACCCATCTCTCCTCTGGGCCCCTCACCCAGCTCCCACCTTTTGCTCCATTTCTATTCTCTACTCAGCAGCCAGAGTGGTTCTGTGAAGAGCAGAACCTGTTGTGCCTTCGTTCCAAACCCTCCAAAGGGCCCCCCAAAGCTCTTCCATGGCCCCTGTCCATCCGAAGTTGCCACCACTGTCCCTGCCACTTTGGCCCAACCACATGGTCCCTTCAGCCTACCTACTGGCCCCCCCTCAGGGCCCCTGCACTTGCTGTTTATTCCCAACATGCCCTTTCCGGAAAATCCATGAGGCTCACTCTCATTTCTGCTAAAGTATCACCTGCCAAAAGCCACCTGAGGGCCTCCCCGGTGGCACAGCGGTTGAGCGCTGGGTTGCGAAGCTGCCCGCAGCCTCTGTGGCGCCGGTTCGATCCCCGGCTGCTCCCCGGCCACCAGAGGAGGGTCCCACATGGTGCGCAGACCTCTCCTGCCGCCCGCTGCTCCCCTCAGCAGTGTACTTCGTCACTCTGCCTGCTCTGCTCCCCGCTCTGGCTCCGGTGAATTCTCTCACCCTCCCGCACTTCTGACTGTACCCAGTGCTTGTATAAACAAAAACAAACAAACAAATAAAACATGTCTCTATTAAAAAAAATAATAATAAAAATAAAAACAAAAGCCACCCGGGCAGCACCATCCTCTTACTCTGCTTACCAACGTGTCAAAAATTCATTTGCTCCCTGGCCGTTCAGGGTGAGGCCCGGCAGTCCTCTCCCGCCTCAGCAGCAGCTGCTTTTGGGAATCACATCCAGCAGCATAAACGTGCGTTTCTCTCTTCACCCCACCTTCCCCTCCCCAGTGTGACAGCAAGGGCTCCACTTCCCTTCTGTGTCAGCTCCCGCTCCCCTGCGGGGGCCCCTCCAGCCAGGCTGTCCGCCCCTCAGGGGACGGCTCGGGCCAAAGTCCACTTCTCTGTCCACTCACGCCCCTGACAGTCAACCAGGCTCATGTTTTTTTTGTTCTGTTTTTTTAATTTTGTGTAGAAGAACTGAGGTGTGCCATGTGGGTTGGCTCCCTGGCTAGGGATCGAACTCAGGCCATGGAGGTGATAGCCTGAGACTGAACACCTAAGTCCCAGGGAGGCCCCAGGCTCGCATTTCAAACACCATCTTTTTGTAAACGAATCTTAACTTTATCAGTCCTCCAGGCTTCTCTCAAACTGGGAACTCTCTGCAGATGCCCATGGGCGCCCCTCTCCTGCACAGGGGTCCAGGGGCCACGGTGCCCTGGTCCAAGACTGAGTTCTCCATCTTCCCCACCGTCCTCCCCAGCTTGGCCTCCCTGTAGGCCTTTAGCATGAGGCCTAGACACCTCTTCCCTAACTTGCCTCCTCCTGCCCTGCAGGTAATGCTCATGTCAAAGTGTACCCAGAATCTGAACCCCTTTCCGCTCCCAGCCCTCTCACCCCCAGCTCAGGCCATTCGCCTGTCACAGAAACTTCATCATCTCTCCTCTGGCATCGCTCTGTATCTTTGTAGCCCTTCTCAAACCTCTGCTTAATCCAGGCCGTGGTTGTTTTAAAATTGTGTAAAATCTCTCTGTAGCGGGAAGGTTTACCACTTTAACCATTTCTGAGCGCCATTCCGTGGCCTCAGCGAACTCGCAGGGCGGGAGCCACCGCCGCCGTCCGCAGAGCTTCCTTCTCCTCCAGCACTGAGGCTGCACCGGCTTCCCCCCAACTTCCCTTCCAGGGGTCTCACGGTTTTGGGGACCACAGAGAAGAGCCCTGACAGCATGCTCGGTTTGTCTGTTCCATGGGCATTGGGGGGCTGCTGGAGGCACAGGTGTGCATTACCTGTTCACATCCCCACGCCCCAGTCTTGGGGGCACTGCCCAGAAGTGGAACTGCTGGGCTATATGGCAATTCTATGCACAACTTCCCAGTCCTTGCCAATACTTGTTATCTTCTGGTTTTGTTTTGTTTATGATAACAGCCTTCCTTGTGGGTTTTGGGTTAAAACCTGCAGTGGGGGCCCCCCTGGTGGCGCAGGGGTTAAAGTCTCATGCTCTCAAGCTGTTGGCAGCCAGAGTTCAATCCCTGGCCCGGGAGCAATCCACATGGCGCAGCAGACCTCTCCTGTCTTGTCTGCTGCTCCCCTCAGCAGTGGGTTTCAGTAGATCTGCCTGTTCTGTTCCCCACTCTGTCTCTGGTGAGTCCTCTCACCCTCCCCACCCCCACCTCTGGCCTACACCTCCAGTTCTTGTATACAGTGCTGTGAAGCTGTCTGCAGCCTCTGTAGCATGGGATCGATTCCTGGCCGGCCAGGGAGATGCCCACATGGCGCAGCAAACCTCTCCTGTCTCGCCCGCTGCTCCCCTCAGCAGTATTTTCAGTCCGTCTGCCTGTTTTGTTCCCCGCTCTGTCTCTGATGAAGTCTGTCACTCTCCGGCGCCTCTGGCCTGTACTCCAGTTCTCGTATAAATAAATAAATCTTTAAAACAAAAACAAACACAAAAACAAATCTTGCAGTGGTTTTGAAAACTCAAGTCCAAAGGCCTACAAAGGCTTATGAGACCCAAGTAACCCAGCTTCCTCTCCGTGCCCCGCGTCCCCCTCACTGCCTCTTTGACTTCTGACAGGTGAAACTTCCATGGAAAATGGTCTCCTTCCTTTTCCTGTGCACTGGAGCCTCAAATTATCATTCTCTGTACTGATTATCGATCCATCGAAGTTTTTGTATTTTGGTACTACTTTTGGTGTCTCATTTTTCTGGGAAGGCATTCACGTTAAGTTTTTCTATGCACTCACATACAGTCATTGTATTATCCTTTACACTTTGATATCTGAGACTTCTGTGGGGGCACCGGGGCAGGTCACGCGGGACCTGGTGGCCCCAGAAAGGACTTGGGCTCTGTCCTGGGTCCACTGGCAAGTGTGACGGGTTCCTGGGAGCTCTCGGAAGCTCCAGGATAGAATGGACATGAGGCTCCGCAGAGAGCTGCTGCTGGTCCCAGTTTGGAAGAAAATAGGGAGAATCTTTTTGCCACTCCCAGGGCCCTGGCCTACCTGGAGTATGTAATGGGACGGAGGAAGGTTCTGAAAGGGGGTTGTGTGATGAGATTGATTTGGGAGGAGCTGCTGTCATGCTCAGCCCCAACATGTCTCTCAGGAACTGGGGGGCTGGGAGGCTGCTTTCTCATCCCAAATCTGGAGTGAGTGCTTTAAGGAAGCTGCCTGGAGAGGCAGAGATGAACTCCTGTGGTCATCGCTACAGGAGACTTCCAGAAAGGCCACCAGGCACAGCAGGAGGGTAGCAGGTGGACCTGCCCCCCTAAACAGCTGTCCCCCAGAAAGGAGTCACCTTCTCCCCCAGCAGCAAGGGAGAAAGAAATTTCTACACCCACTTCCTTCCTCAACAGCAGAGGTTCTCAAACTAGAGGGGCAGGAGGGAGGGAGAAGGGGGGCCCCCACACCCCCTCTCCTTGTCAGCAGGGGCTGGAGCGTCTGGGGAAGTGGAAACTATCTCATGCAGTTTAGAGATGTGGCTGCCCCGCCGCACTGGGTGCTTTAAGTGAAGGTATGAGGTGACTTCAGGTGACGTGTTGGACATGAGGAAAGAAGTCACAGAAAGTCTGACTTCATGTGGGGGACAGAGAAAGTAGCCCCCAGAGGAAATTTACAGGGAGGTGGGAGGCAAAACAATCTTACACTCTCCTACGAATCCTGCTGGGCCAGTGGTCATCACCGCAGAGGACTTTGGCAGGAGGTGTGAGGGGAGCAGGTTCCTGTTGTTGAAAGATCTCTTCGGCTGCTGGGGAAAGATAGACAGGAAGGCCAGGGTGCAAAGAGGGGCTGTGGCCCAGAACAGGGATGGGGGCTTGGACAGGGGAGGCAGAGAAAGGGAAGAGGAGGAAAGGTCTGCAGACCGAGCCCAAGCCCCTATGGGGAGGGCAAGAGCGGTCAGGGCCACAGGGCCACGGGGACAGAAGAGACCGGCCAGGAGAAAGAAAAGAATGCAGAGGACTCCAGGGCAAGTGAAGAAAGTGTTCCGGGGGGAGGGAGTGACCGATGGTGACAAGAGCCACTGAGAGGTTAAGGCAAGGTAGAAAAATGTAACAACTAAATGTGGTAACTTACTTGTTCCCTAGGCCCAAGCTTCCTGACTTGGGCTGTTAGAATGTGCCTGGGGTGAGCCACACAGACTCTCTGCACGGATCCCTTGACACAGTGCGAGGAGGGGGACCCAGATAGACTCCATTGGTCTCACTGAGTTTGGAGACAGAGGTAAAAGACAGCTAGTTTGAGGGTAAGAATATCTAAGAGGGGGCCTCCCCGGTGGCGCAGCAGTTGAGCGCTGGGTTGCGAAGCTGCCCGCGGCCTCTGTGGCGCCGGTTCGATCACCGGCTGCTCCCCGGCCACCGGAGGAGGGTCCCACATGGTGCGCAGACCTCTCCTGCCGCCCGCTGCTCCCCTCAGCAGTGTACTTCGGTCCTTCTGCCTGCTCTGCTCCCCGCTCTGGCTCTGGTGAATCCTCTCACCCTCCTGCGCTTCTGACTGTACCCGGTGCTTGTATAAATAAATAAATCTTTAATTAAAAAAAAAAGAATATCTAAGAGGAGGAAGCTCCCTAGGGAAAGAGCTCCAAACCCTGCAGAGAGATCCCCTTGAGTTCTAGCAAGAATGTAAAATTGTAGTTGGTATAGGTGTAAACCTACAAGGCTACACAAGAACACTTTTCAAGAAAAGAACAGGGGCCTCCCTGGTGGCAC